CTGAAGTAAATATGAAAAGCAAGGCAAGACAGCTAACTCTAGGCCTACATTAGGAACAGTTTGCTCATGAGACCATTCCACTACATTCTCCTGGTGGAGATGAAAGATACACTCTATTTCCCAGACACCTTACAGCAATTCCACAAAACAGGAAAAACGCTGCTCTGGAAAAGGGATGGTTTTGCCAGTATAATTCTCTCTACACTAGGGCTGGAACAGTTATGTCAGTCAGGGTGTGACAAAAACATACTTATGAGGTAAACAGAGGTTTCAAGCAGCAGGGGTAAGCTTCCACAAGAAACTTTCAAGGAGGTCTACGGCCTTAATCCTTGCTTGACAGGCATGGTGTACATTTCTAATGAAGAAAACTAAACCATAAAGAAGTGCCGTGTTATAAAAAGTTCTAGAGAAAAATTATTAAGAGACACTATTGAAAAGCACAGCAGCAAATGACCCTTTTTGATACAGAAGAAAGGCAGGAAAGAGTTTTACAGACTAATTCAGCTCCAGTGAGGCGTTGTCTATTGACTTAAAAATCCCGAAGTAATTGACCCTAAAAGTGAAAATAAGCACACGGCTAAACTGGGGATATTGGATGGGTATTAAAGATATATATATATCAGAACTGGATGGCATATTTAAAGAGATATATATACCAGAAATGCTAAATACAAACTAAACTGCAACTCACAAGAGACACAGGATGCAATAGGAAGAGGTTCTATAACTACAGCAGAAGGAAAAGAAACATAAAGGAAACTACAGAACAATAGCAATGAGGAAAAAACGACAAAAGATGAAACCAAAGAGGCTGAATTCAATTTCTTCTTCTCTTATATTTCCCCTACCCCCCAAGGGTTAACGGTAAGTAGAGAGCAAGGAACAGGACCAGGGAAAGAACAGGCCTATCATTTAATCCTCACTCATTTAGTAAGCCATAATATATTAAACAGCTTAAGAGAACATTAGAAATAATGCATGAGTTGACAATATAGATAACAGCTATACCAAACGTGAGTTAAAACCGCAGTTGTGCTGATAGGAAATATCTAAACCCGTCAGAAATAAGAAAGTACAGATTAGTGAGAAATCAACCAAAACTTTCCTTCGGCAAGGTCAGAAAGCCAGCTTCCTCATCAGTAACTAATACAGAATGAGACAACCTGACATGAAAAATCAGAAAACTGTCTAACGAACAGACGGGCTTATCTTACACAGGCTAACATTATTTACCTTATACAGCTTAAGAAAATTTTGTGTTGGCGGTGAGATGAAAAGGAAGGATTTTGGTCTGAGACAGCATTGCTTTCACACTGAGCTTGCATTCATGCCAAGTTTCTCATCTGTGTATCTAATCTCCTATTACAGTCAATGGAGATGCTGTTCAATTCACAGGATCCCTGCCTGGACACAGGTGCCTACTGCCACTGGAGATGCCCTAGGGTTTCCCACCACTTCCAGCTGCTGGCCTGGAAGGGTACAGACCCCCAAAGGTCCTGTGTGATATCTGCCATGCCATGCAAATATCATTGCACATCAAATGGCACATGTTGCCTATGAAACGTTAACTCTCCTTCCGCTGTAAGTGGAGGCCAAGTTCCTCATTCATGTGGACATATATGGAGACTATATTTAGGTGTCAATCTGGGGTTGGGTACTGCCCTTCATCTCTGTCCTTAAGTAAAACTGGTACGCCATTCTTCTTTAAGTGACCACCTGCTAGTGATCCTAGGATTTTTGTATAAATATTTGTTCTATTTTTTCTTTTAATTTTTTTTTCTCTCTTATTATCCTTTTTAACTATGCATTTCATATTACTTTCATGTATTATTTCTTCATGCCTTAATTGTATCGCACTGTTTTCTGCTCATGCACAGTCTTACCTATTTATGATTTTAGGCAAAATTCTGTTTGCATACAACTTTGAGAGTGCAGTTTCTACAGGGAAGATTCCCTGAAATCTTTTTTCCTGTTCATGGGTATTGACATGTGAAATAATGTTTAGATAAACTGGATAAATCTGCATCAGCCAGACTCAAACAATCTAGATCTGACATACAACTGACTACCAAAATCTCCTGGGTAACGCAGAAAGACCCAGCAGAAGGGAAAAAGGCGAACGTAGTTGCTATCTACAAAAGAAGGAAAGGAAAGGACAGAGGTTATGGACAAACCAGCCTAACCTGAAAGCATTCCAGGATAAATTATTCTGTAAGGGCAGAAGTATACAAAACAGTTAACACAAGATTTTCATGAACAAACAGTATCAAACAAAATTATTTTTCTTTTCTGACAAGAGAAACAAGCCTGGAATATTAGAATGCAACAAATGGGATATAGCTTGACCTTAATGTAGCCTTTGACTTTGTGCCACCTGATGTTCCTCAAAATCTAACCATGGAAATATCATTTAGATTAAATCACCAGTAGATGGTTGCAGAACCAGGTTCATGTGAATCTGAGCATCATTGTAGGTATTCCACAAAGTTTTGTACTGGGTTCATTGTCTTCCAGTAATTTCATTAATGAAATCAATGATTTTAAAAAAACCCACAAAACAACAAAATCCTTTTAAAATAAAATTGTAATCTGGGATGGGATGCAAGCATTTACAAACCTAAATGGCATCAATAAACCTGAGAAATGAAATCAACGAAATGTGTGTAAAGTACTCCACTAAGGAAGAAAGAAATGTACAGTTACAAAACAAATCCATCTAGTTAAGCAGCAGCACAGCAGAAAAGGACCTACTGGAACCACAGACTGAACAACAGTTGGCAAGCTAGACAAAAACATACAAATGTCTGTCAGGAGCACGGAAGTCCATTCTGCCCAGTATTCAGAGCCTCACTTAGAGTGCCATAACCAGCATGGGGCATCACACTTTAAAAATTATGCATCAAGTCAGAAAGACTTCAGAAAAGAAATACAAGCAGATAAAACATTCAGAAAAAAAAATATTATACCAAACTATTCAAATCTGTGGTGTCCATCTATATCACTAGAAAACCACCAGTTCAACAATAACTGATAAAACCCTCACACTCACTTGTAACCCAGAAACAAAAAGGATGAAAACTGTAAACCATACAGAAATCTGTTACAAAGCCTGTTACAAGAAGCAGTAGCTTACAAAACATAAGATTTTCCTCTTAAACCTCTCAAATAAGCTTTCTGAGCTAACCTCTGGAACATGTCTCCTTACACTCCTAATTCTTCCCTTGCTAGATGTGCCTGCCAGTACAGGATCTCACATCTGAAGTCCAGCAGACCACCTACATCTCCCTGAACAACATGTAAGTTTTTATCAGCATAGTTTCTGCCAGTGAAGTTGTATTTGTACTAGAAGATTTTGTCAGTCTCATGGGCTGGGAGGAAGGGACAGAAAGAAGGCAGGACTTGTGCTTGCATATGTTTTTGTGGTTGTTTATACACATAGCTCTAGCTGAGAGGGGTACACCAGCATTACCCTGAAGAAGTGACCATGGCTGTGGTCAGGCAAACAGCAGAAATGGCTGTGAATTGTTTTCAGCAGGTGCTCAAGCTATATGGGCTTCAAATCACCTTGCACTGAGGAGTGATGCTCAGATGATCCTCTTCTGTTAGTTTTGCTGCCACGGTGGCAACCTCCAGCTGACAGGAATTAACAAGCAGCTGGGTAAGACCAAAAGCAAAGGCTGCTATCTTAAACTGCCACAGTATAGCCACCTGGGGCCTAGGCTTCACCTCCAGGCAGGCATCATCATTACTTCCAAGACATCAGAGAGAGCAAACACAAATCTGTCTGTGATGGTGAAGCTTAGTCAAGATTCCCACAGCACACCATTTCTAGCACCCCACCCCGCTGTTACAAAGCAGGTGTTTGGATCACTAGTTGTTATAAACAGAACAAAAAAAGAATCATAGAAATATGGCAACACTCACAGGAACGCAGTGTGGAACAATAACACAGCCATCTTTGAAGTTTAGGAGAGAGAGAGACCAAGCCAGAGAGTCACCTAATTAAATGAAAACATCTGTGTCTAATTGAGTATCTAAACCTGAGCTAGCTGACATGTGCTCCCTTTATTGGCAATGGAGATGTTGTCAACTGAACCTCATGAGAAAATCGTCTCACCCTAATGCAGATGCGCAAAATGGACTCAGATGAACTGCACTCCACAAGTGGCTACTTCTTTTTAGATTGTGAAGGGAGCCTGGGATAAAAGGATTTGGTTTAGATATGCAGAAGTTAAGTGAAATCCCTATCTGTGTAACAACAATATTAATGAAGAACACAGAAACCAAAATGGAGAGGAAAAGCTAACTATTACAAAAGAAATCAGGAACTCAGTAAGATTGATTAATTGAATAGTAAAGTGAGGAACTACCAGCTAGAACTCAGCAGAATTATCTTTTACCTGACAGCGTTGATTTGATAAAAAATATTTACATTTGCAAAGAGTTTGTTAGTCCTGGCAAGGTCTACAAAATTAATCCAAGTGCCAAGCTTGGAGGAAAATGATATGATAAAACAAAAATTGAGAAGTTAATTGAAATTTCCATAGTCCTTTCATTGTCTACTTTTAATTATTAGACTTTAGATTATTACAAGTAAAACAAAGGACAAAATATGAGGTCAAATGACATTATTTTGCCAAGTGTTGAAAGAGAATGTAAATGGAAAACTATGGCTTCTCTGAGCAGTAATACACTGGTTTAAGTAAATACTCCCACCTGTACCTCATGGTACATACTGAAGTATGGTTATTGAGCTGCTTCGCATGCTACAGTAAATGCTTCACGGAATACTGCAATGTAATTTTTAGGTGCAACTGATGATAACTGAGTTCCGTAACACTATGAAAATATATTAATGAATAATTTATGAAATTGATGTCAAACTGCAGCATGATAAATGTAACTTGCTGTGGGCACTATTTAGAGCCAAAGACAGCTGGATTTTTTTCTTGGATTTGATAAGCACATATAACTTTGCAAAAATGCACACTTTCTCAGACTTACCACTGGTGACTCTCAGCACTGCTGGCATCCAGCTGAACAGCCTTTTCAGCTTTAATCTTTCCTGTAAATGGAATACAATATATTAAAGGATTTATTGTGCTCTTCCACATTTTAGGCAACTACCAAGAACGAAGCAACCTGATATACTCTAAATGCAAAGAAAATATTGCTTCCTGCTCTTGTAAACATTTAGATGGACAATGTAACAGCCTGGCTTTACATCCTTTACATACGCATACATACATATATAAATATGTGTGTGTATATATATATGGGTGCAATTTTAGTATTTTCTCGTAAAATCCAGTTCAGACACAGCTAGATCAGGGAAGGATTGGACTGGACTGCCAAAGGAGGCTGTGTTGTCTGTAAGACTGAAGACCCTTAAAAGCAGGTTAGAGAAGCACCTGTCAGAAGAACCAGCAAAGCTTTTTCCTGTCTTGTGTACAGGAATGAAGTAGTTGAAGCTCCTTTCCAGCACAAAGACTTCCATTAAATTCCACTTTTAACTGAATAAAGATGACAGTAGGTGATTTGATCAAACCCACGCTCCCAGTAAGAAGTTCAGATGAGATGCTTGCTGTTTGCAAAGTCTCAGCTGCAACCAATTAAGCCACACTGACATTTCTGTAGTGCAAGTTAACTTCATAAAAACAAAGAACAGCATACACAGTCCTCCAACCCAGTGGAATGAAAAAATCCACAAAACTACTGCCAGCTCCCCCGCAGTCTCAATCCCTCTGCACCACTTCCAAAAATTGAGATAAAAAAGGCTGCCGCCGCCCACTACTTCATGAGAATGAGCCAAACTAGGCTGGTTACTCAACACCTAACACCCAGTTTCATTCCATCATTCTTTATCTCTCCCTGTCTTTTGCCATGCCATTACCTTTCATCAACTGAGGCTACATGTAGTCACTGGTAAAAGCAAAGGATCCAACAACAGAGTTTACTGTTGTAATTTAGTTTGTGTCAGAATCCTCACTGCACTGGGTGATTTCCATACAAAGACGACAAGTTGCTACTAAAGCAACGACTGTATCAATTAAGTAGCTAAGACAGTGCAAGTCTTCATGAGTATTTAGATGAGGGACAAGGACCTTGGACAAGCTGAGGTTGGCTATGGAATATGTAACGACAGCACAAAGGCATGACACTGCCTTTAAGGATGACAAAGGGCAGTCAAAACTGTTTTGTCAGTGATGTTGTCACTGCTGACAGAACAAAAAGTAGAAAATGGGAAGAGTCACAAAAGACAAAATAACCTGAACTTGGAATACACTTATAAAACCTGAATTTGGTGCAGCAAAAAAGAGAGAGGCAATGGAGAAAGAAAGGAGAGAGAGAAGTACTCCCAGACACGGGCAAAAGGATTATTGTAAGAACAGTGTGTTAACTGGAGGAGAGTGACATAGGTAAAAAAGATGTAGGTTTTATAGTAATAAAGAGAAGAAGGCCCAAAACAAAAAGGGAAATGTAAACTATACCTCTAGCCAATATGCACCCAGACAGTGAAAGAAAGGGCAATGCCTTCAAAAGCAACAAAGAAAAAGTGCTGTGAAGAAGAAAATCAGAACCCTGTTGAGGTTAAACTGTCAAACAGGACACATGGGGAGAGAAGCCTGGAAGCAACATCAATTGTCACACATGATTTCTGTTTCTGGTCAATGTTTCTTCCAGACTCACCCCACCACCACCACAAAAAAGGCTGCTGATATGCAGGAGCGCTCCTTTGCCACAGGAAAGCAGGAAAACAGACCTTGACTTTGCCTTGGCATTTATTTATTCCTCTCGCTCTCCCAAAGATGTAATTAAGAAACTGCAATGACAGCATTTGTCTTTTTTCACATTCTGTATCCATCTGATTCTCAACAAAATACAGGATTTTAAGGCACCATCCAGAGTCAACAGCCTTCAACTGTGAGCCACAATACTTCTTCTCCACCAATTTTGGATCTCTCCAGTGAAGAAAGAATGGACCAAAGTTGTATACCATGGCAGTTTATTGCACAAAACATTATTATTACAGTACAAATGCTCCCATTCATTGGATTGGAAATTCCTTGGATTGGAAAACTTAACCAAAGCTCAAAGCATGTTTCACTACATTCGGATGGCATTCTACATAAACATTTTTCCTCCGCTTACCATCAGTAACATATTTCCTCTTCTCCTCAGCATCAGTAGTCATCTCAAACAGATCTCCATAAGCACGTGCAAATCTCCAAAGAAAGTCCACACAGTTTTCATACTGAAAGTAGAGGACAGCTGGGTAATTAAACTGATCAGAATGTGACTTAACCAGTTTCCTTTCATAATGCTTAAAGCAGGTTATTGGAACATGGCATAAATCTTTGGTTATTTTGCATCCTTCTATACTACTTTTAGTTTATGTGAGAACCAGATGACCAATCTTTCACAACCAAAGGAGAAGAAAGCTTTTCTTCTTTGGAAATAGCCCAGGCTGTCTAAAGAGGTTTTATTTCATAAATCAGTTTTAAAGTTCTTTTTTTATAAAAAATAACAAAGTAATCCAGTAAAGCAGAACAGATTCCTCAATGATGAGATGTATACTTTTTTTAGGTATGCCATAAACACCACACTCTCTCACAATTCGTATCTCATCTACCTTCCTGGGTATTTCAATAGGTAAATGAAAATATAATCAGAACTAATGTTTGCTGAATCAGAAGAAACCAATACACTGAATTAAGCACCGCACATCAAGCCAGTTTGAAATTTTATCTGGAGTTAGACATGTGCAAAGTAAAGTCAAAGGAAAAATTCACATGAAGTACACCAGAAAGGTATAAGCAGGTTACAGACTCATAGTTCAATTTCTTGAGAACACTTGGTCTGGTTACTACCTAATTCCACAGGACTTTCTCACATAGACCATTCTAAAACCAGCAAAAGTATCATTTACGTAGAAAAAAGCCTATGGTCTTTCTTTGTCATATGCAAGAATACATACATCAAACAAAGCCTCAAAGTTATTGAGCCTGGATGGGATATAATAATAATAAGACTTCTGTGCTCCCCCACATGAATATTGACACCACCTTGAGACATTTCTTTTTTCACTGTACTTTAAAAATACGCATGAAATTTCATCTCCCATTCCTGTGTGCATTTTAATGCTTGTATTAAGGAAGTTCTCAAAAGCAGTGCAAAGCATAAGTTAGTAACAACAAAATATTAAGTTTACCCATTAATACCTTGTCATCTTTCTCAAACAGCAGTCTGAAGCCCTGCTTTTTATCATCTTCTGAACCCTTGTGCAAATTGTCCACCTGCTGTAAAAAATTAAACAACTCCTCTTCTTCTTCTTCTTCTGATTTCACAGTGGCATCGGGTGATTTCATACATCCATTTTCTTCCTCAGAGTCTCCTTCAGAATCAGTATGAGCTGTGAGGTAACTAAAATTACAGAAAATAATAACCATCTTTTCTAAAAATATTGTTAAAGCATTGCTAAATTCAAATGCCAAAGTTCTGGAGCACAATTTCTTCCAGTTGTCCAACCTTAAAGAAGTTTTTATTCATGGTATCAAGCTTATTATTTTATTATTACAAAACCTTTTTCTTCAAAGGGACAGCACAATCATATTCCAAACATAACAGACAAGTAATTACACTGTCCTGCTGCATTAAAAAAATGCAGATACATATTAGAAACACATGTATCTTTGTGTTTCAAACGCAGAACACTTTAAATCATGAATGTGTATTAAGACATGCCCTGTAACCCTGAATAGGCCTCTTCAACTCTTTACCTCAATTTCCCTATTTTTTGAAATAGTAATGAGCTTGCTAACCAAAACCTAAGTGCTACAAGAATCATTTATACAACGCTTTGGTAAACACTTGTAATGTCTAAATATAAACAATAACATCACGGTTATCAATTCCTTTACTTATTTCTTTTGAATATTCTGAAGGTCAGAATATCTGAAACTGGGAAAGAGCTTATATTAATTCATTATGCTTAGCACACAAGTACTCAGCACAAGGCAATCAAGGACAAAGAAATATTTACAAAAGCCATAAATAACATGCAGAGATAAGCAGGTGGCCTTACTGTCGAAGTGCTGAGCATACATTAGGGTCCTCCAATTTCATATAGGAACAGCTGAATGGCATTATTTTTCAAAAGTAGCTTTTTGCTTATGTACTAAAAATGGACAGAAAAGCCTAATCTTCTGCATTTCCACTTTTGAAAATATTGTTCTGACGAGAAATAATAATGTAAAAATATTAGCTGCCAGGTTCAGATTTTTTAAATGGTAACTATGAGCAGAAAAAGCATGAAATGTACTATACACATTAAGCAACTGAATAATCAAAGTAGGTCATGACAGTCAAAATCTATAAAATCTATTTTTTTCCAGAAATGTAACCAGTACAGAATGTTAGCAACATAAATGGAGGTTAATAATCATGGCTTTTAAATACTCTGTTCTCAATACGTTGCTTTCGGAAGTGACCAGAACTAAAACACGAGCAGATACACTTACAGCCTGTAAATGAACAAGCTTATCAAGCTACAGAAGTGCTAGATGTGGCATGACAGTTTCACTGCAAAATTAACCCAGTAATATGGGAAAGAGGAGTCAAAAATACATTTGGATAAAACAATACACACATAAACCATGCGTACATGTTCAAATGGAAAAACAACATGGAGTGGAGCAGAGCAGAGACGGGAAACTTCACAGATTCCTGCAGATTTGTTTTACATAATCTTGATGATGCTGAAGTTGATGACACATACAATGTTGTATCCTGCAGAGTCTTTATTTGTAAGTCCCTGAACATTTATTTTGGTTTTCTGAAGCATCTTTAAAAACACAGCATCTTGCTCTTCCATAGTTATTTTGGAGTGGGTACAGAGCTACATCATATATAGGCTGCATTTGTAAGAGCACTAACTTGACCAAAAGTACAAGGGATTTGGTGGGAGGGGGCAGTCTTTTAGCTCCAATACATAATCTTGTGAAGTATATTTGGAAGGTACCTTTCCTCACATGGTTCAGATGTCCTCCCGCCCAATTAAAAGATAAATGCACTGAGGGTTTGTGCAATTACCAACCTAAAATAAGGGCACTAGATAATATAAAGTAACAGCAACTAAACAGGAAAGGCAATTTCATATTCCCATACCACCATAACACTCCTCAGTTACAGGAATTTGGGCACTGCATCAAATGCTACCTAAGCAGGTAGGTATGAGAGTAAGGAATCAGTGTTTGGAAGTCAATGTTGATGTTGTCATTTTTATCTTTGCTGCATAAACATCTGCTAAAATGTCTATGATCACTACTGTTCCAATGTTAGAAAACACACAAAAGTGATTATTAGAAAATGTTACTATCCTAGCAAAAATATAAAGGCCAAGGTTGGGCTGAGAGCCAAGCCCTTGTCACTCCAAACAAGCCCGGCAGAGATTTCCAGCAGCACTGTATTAAACTGTCATGGCCAAACATCAAATTCATATGGCATCAGATAAGTCACATAAGAATATTCACTGAGAGACTCAAATGGAAGAAGTGTGAAGTAGGTCACTATCTAACAGATGATGTGAACCCATAAGGAGCTAATTATGAAATATCATGGAAGAATAATCTTTTAAGATCACACCATACTGCATCAAGCCTTTCCTCATCCCACCTCTCCTACAGAAACATGATCTCCAGGCCACATTTGTGCTGAGAAACAGAAGAGAGGACAGGTCGTTTCTTCCTCACTCCCTCTCACCTCCGCTGTCCTGGGAGATTCTCTCCTACCTCCACTATTTATCTGCCTTATGAATCCTCAAAGAATTTAAATGTGGAGCAGACCATCTTAAACCTTGATGAGAATGCCATAAATTTCAATTTAGTTGTTGATTGTGTGCTTTAAAGAAGGCAAAACAATACCTGTAAAACAACATGTGGGAAGTGAAAAACACAACAGTAAATAACTTTTTTCAGTGTAAGGTAATGCCAGTAATTCCTAGGGACTGCAATAAACCACAGAACCCTGTGCCTGCTGACATCGATGAGAAGACACTGATCTACACTAAGGGGCAGCAGTTTCTACACAACCAACAGAGAAGAATGCCATTCTCAAAGAAAAGAAACAAAATATTTAAAATCTTTTCCAAGTTTGGTTTGAAGTGAATAGTGTCTTTCACGGGAAGGCCAGAAATTAAATGTACTGATACCAAAATGTCCAAGGGAGTGCAAACAATTGCTAGTGCTTAAGATTGGGCATGCTAGTTACCCCCAAGCTGCAGCAGCAGTCCTCTAAATTTTTCCTTTCTTTCCTCAGAAAAGTAACTTCATAGTGCCTTCAGAGAGTCCTCTCTTCCTTGACTCTTCTTCTTTGGCTCCAGAGCTGACATTGCTGCCTTCCAGCATTTTCCACAGGAAAAGCACCAAGGTGACAGCCAAGGGCTTCATAACTTATTTGTCATGAGTTCCCACCTCACTAGTCACACACCCCAGGCAAACTCCTACATTGCTCGGGAGTCATGGGGGTTAAATGACAGCAAGGTAATTTAACCAAGTATAAAACACTAAATATCACTTCAAACATTGTGGCAAACTAGGCATAAAGAATATTTTTCTGTTTTGTTCCTGATGACATTTATTTTCTTACTATCTCTCTGTTCGATCCTTATCATAGCTGAAATGTTTTAAGCATGAAAATATAACATGTTAAGAAGGAAATACAGACTTTTAAAAAATAAACAGCTAGGATTTTTCCTAACAACTTGGGTAAGCTGTACTTTACCAATTTGAACTGAAGCCAGTTTTATTACAAGACAGGAAGTCCTTCCAGATACTTAAGGACAAAATAAGAGTGTAACAGATATTATTGATATAAAACCATGATAAGAAGAGCTTGATAATTCACTTCAACAAAGCAGCTAGCAGACTTATACATCTACTCATTCTAGAAAAGCATGTTATGAAAAGCAATACTATTAAAAAAAAAAATCAGTACTAACACAAACAGAAGTGGAGATCCTTTTTAACACAGTTTAAAACCTCCAAGAGTCTAAGGGCTGATGACACTAATGCAAAAGGGAAATTAACAAAAAATGAGAAAAAGTTATTATGGTTTGTTTTACAAATATTTCATATAACAACACAGACATGTGCAATTCTACTTGGTATTTTGCTGCACAAGGTTTTATCAGATGATAAATAGAAAACTGAGTATTTCCATGTGATAAACACATTGACCAATATTTGAGAGAAAATGGAAGAACTTTAAAAAAGTCAGTGCCAACTTGTTTTCACCTTTATTACCACTAGATTTTATTTAAAAGAGAAAAACAGTGGTAAGAATATGAGGAGCAATGATCAACCAACATGAATCAGTTGGATCACAAAGGACTGTTCAAAGACCAAGTGGAAACTGTGCTGGAGACTCACCACACCGTGGTTAAGCTGTTTAGTAAATCCAGGCACCTAGTACTGCATTAAGAAAAAACTGAGCTACATGGTATAAAATACCACTGTGGTATAAACTCACTTTGCTCATTCAAAAACCATGTTGGATTGCCTGTAAATTGGCATACACTGGGCCTAACCAGGTATTGTCTGTTCACAACACTTCAGCTTTTAGACAGATCAAATATCATCTGTTGTCTCCCTGCCAACTTAAAAAAATCACAAGATGACACAAACACCGTCTCATCCACTCCAGCTAATTCAATAGAAAGGTGATTATATGTCACAGACTGATCGGGATCAAATTTACACTGTATGACCCAGCAGAGTGCATATCCATAAGTAATGATAAGCAGCCTTCAAGGAAAAGTTTGGCAAACCAGATTCTTAGGTCAACTGAGGGTTGCATTGAAAACAAAATGGGCAGCAAAAATAAATGAAGAAATAAAGAAATCATAAGTGAAGTGGTACTCAGAAGCAGGCAAGGGAAACATTTCTTCCTGCTGAATATTTAAACTGTTTCAAGGAAAAATTATAAATAAAACATCTGCAGGAAAACGATTTACTGTGGTGAATCTTTCTGGTGACTGATGCCAAATGTAATTTGAAAAGCTTGGATGCTAGGCCAGCTGAAGACCGGTGCCAAACATGACACTGATGTCAATGGTTCATCACTGCTGTACCAGGGAGGAAACAGCTTTAAAATCACAAAGAGGAGAATTAGGTGACACTTTCCATCCCAGGTGATCATCTAGACACAATTTATTGTATTTGTAAATGAATGAGTGCTTGTTACACATTCTCAAATGTTAACGATTAAAGTTTTCACTAGTGAATGATGGAAACTGAAACAAACTATAAAGAACAGAATACAGGAAAGCACAGACTAGAAACCGCAGGCTTTTTGGCATACAGCCAATGTCCCATCCATTCAGCGTACCTTCCATTCACGCTATCTGTTTTTTTATGTAAAAATATATCTCATTTATTAAAAAGCATGTGATATTTTTTCACTTACAGAAATAGATAATTTTTGAAAGGCAAAATAGAAAGCTTCTCTTCCCAAGGTGCTGAATACCAAGAGTGACATTGAGAATATGACCAGAGCAGATCAAAGCAGTGAGGACCATATCAGAGACTGCAGCTTCAAATATTTTATGGAAAAAACAGGTAGTATTAAAAGTTTTTCTGGAAGAAGTTTACAAATCTGAAACTTATGTAGTCATCCAGCACAAGTCCATAAAACTTAAGATTACTCCATCTGTCAATTTCCAGCATCTACCCATTTGTCAGTTAAAACCAGCAGTGCTTAATACAAGCAAAATCCTGTCTTCTAGATTATGAAAATACTGCTGAGGCAGTGAAATGTGTAGCATGTACTTTAGATAGAATACAGAAAGTGAAAAAATGTTTAATCTGTAACAAAGGGAAAAATTATTTCTCTAGTGCACCAACTAGCAACCAAATGCGTTACTGTGTGGAATTCACCACAGAACAGTATAAAACAATGCACATAGTGTTATACCTACAGCACATGAAGTGGTGATGCACATTAACTGGAAAAAAAAAGTGTGTTGTTATTGTCTCTCATGGTAAACTCTCACAGAACATGCACCACTGTGATTGAAGTTACATAAGACCTCAGAAAAAGCTATATACATTGCAACTGTACACACATTAGGATTAACAACCTATTTCCATTTGCAAGAGGAAGAAAAAAATACAAAAAGAAAATTACTTAAATGAAATAAAATTATCTTAAATTTACAGAAGATATGCAAAACAAGGACATCAAGTACAAGGTGTTAGTAGGAAAAAAACACCTCTTTTCAAAAGGGGTTAAAAAATAGGATTGGAAAAGCACATACCCAAACGACTAACGCTATTTATAACCTTGAATTATCTTCCTTCCTTCTGACTGTATACAAATATTTGTCAGAGAAGGCCTCTCTTAAGGACACATTCAAAGCTCTTGCACACTATAATCACTTGTATTAGAACATCTCGTCAGCTTCTTCGTCACACAGCAGAACCTGAACAGACAAGTTTCCTTGGCTAGTTCCCAAACAGCAATGCATCTCTCCTGACCAGAAAACGGGATCTTCTCAAATGCTAGGTGTGGAATAACCCCTATATTGCATCTGCGAACCTGATTATTCATAAACTGGTCCTTTAGCCTTATCTACATCTCCAAATATTTTGTGCATAACATAAAGGCCTCTGCAAACCAACTAATGGATAAAACAATCTAAGAAATGAATAGAACTGAATTGTTTCTACACCATACAAAGGGGGAATGTCTTTGAATACTCCTGCCAATACTGAATACTTAAAGAACTGGTTCATAATAGAACTGACAGGTCTCAAAATACAGTATCAAAATATAAGACTTGTGAAGCATGTGGGCTGGCATGTAACACAACAAGAAATTCCGCCCACAGGAACTGAAAATAAATTTGGAGGAACTCTCAAAAAATAGAATTCCATTAATTATTATATGCAGCATGTTGCTATCTTCAGAATATTACAGTTAATTAATATATCTTTAAAGAAAAAAAGTGACTTAAGATAGGCAATTTACAGATACAATGCTGCCTACGCAGGTATGTATAACACGCTGAGGAGATGGTTCAAAAAACTCAGTTGCTGTAAACATACCCTTATTAAATTGCATGTAAGTATCTCAGCTGATTATTTCAAAACAAAATTGCAATTACAGGAGAGTCATGTCATCACCATTTTTACATTACTACTGGAAGGTATATTAGGTAACATATCAAAAGACAAAAATATAGTCCTTCTCCGGGACGCCAGGTACATCTGATCCTTCAGCATGTTCCTCAACTCACACGTATAAAAGGTCCCATGGGACACAATGGGACAGCAAGATGTGATCAAAACTAGGAACTTTCTACCTTATGGAGTCAGTATCCTAAATCCTTCATGATTACTTTTTAAGCCACCAGAAACTGTTTACAACAGCAAATATACATAAACATACTGCCATTTGTACACGTGTTGCATTCAGACATAGCTTTCATAACATGTAATACCTTTAGGCAGAACACTGTAATAACTCATCTTTAAGGCCCATAGAAGACAATTATCATGAAAAGCACAAGAGCATTTGTACAGTTTGAACAAACTCTGTCAGAGACACAAGACAAGACTACTTTCTTACTAGAAGCACTTTTAAAATCACACCATTATTCTGAACTTTGCCTCTCATGGCATAGCTATGTAGCAATACTGCATCAGATTGTTATCAAATGCACCCTTAAAAATCTCTATTATGCTTGGTATTCAGCCAACTTCAGCTGTAGTGCAGATTTAAAGATGGTCACCCAGAGTTTTCTCTGATCTAAAAATCACTAATCTGAATTTTTGGGGTTTTTTTTCCCCTGAACATAGAGAAATATAAAATATACATAAAACTTTAAAAGGGCTCCTGTTTATTATATGAAGTTTCACATAGGTAATGACACAGTTTGCACTGTATGTGTACTGTAACATATACAAAATATTATTCACTCACCCTCCTTCACTTTCGGCCTCCTCAGAGCTGGTAGTTTCTGTTGCACCAGGAGCTGTCTCGGCTTTTCTCCGCTTTGTTGCTCTGTGCGATGGGCTAACTCTCTGAACATCTCCCTTCCTTTGAAGCTCATTTCGAATAAGCTCTTCAAGCTTTGGAATAGCTTCTTTCAGAAATGTCACCTCTCTCTTTAGTTCGTCCACACTTACTAGCAAGCCATTCAATTTTTCTAGTATCTGCAGTTGCCTTCCATGTAAAACCATTACTACTCCTTGCTCATTAGGAGCTTCATTTGGCAAGCCCATAGAATTAAGCCTGTTACCTACATCTAGGAACGCAGGTATACGCACAGCTGCACCGGGTTTTCGGATCTTACGGTACCAAAACAGCATCAGGCTTATTCCAGCAGTCCCTGCCATTATGCCCAATATTAGTCCTTTATTTTCGAAGCGAGACATTTCTGCACTCTCCTAAAATCATGAGACAACAATAAGTCGGAGTTAAAGACGTTTTTCCTACTCTGCCCAAAACAACTTAGCTTTGAAGTCACAGCAGTGTAAGGCTAGAATAATTGGCACGCGCTGCAGATACAAAGTTACAATACAACTCCAGCAGATTCTGCAATAAAAGGCTATGCGCTATGACAGCAAAAACAAGAGGGCTGGGGGAGGGCGGG